AGTTCGAGCAATATCTGACTCTTCAAATGAAACTTTGTTGTAGAATAAAATGTCTGTTGAATAAAATTTATCATAATAAAAATGTTCGAGTAAAATTTCATTTCTAATAGAATGACGTGAAATTTTAATAAAGCGTATTTTAATGTAATTTTACTTTTTACTTTTCAAATAGAGGTAACGCGATATTTTGCGGGAATAATTATAATTCCGCGGTGGCGACGCGAGCGGCTTAACGATTTCACGGTTGAGTCTCCCACTCGTCGCTGTCTCCGTTGGAAATTATTAGACGATGCGACCACTTTGCAGCCGAACGGATCCTCGGACGCTTCATCGTCACTCCCGAGGGTTTCTCTGATTATACATTCCCACATTATCGCACACGCACTCGACCCGGCGGTGCGAGGTCCGCGACAAGTTGCAGATGGTCCTGGAGATGGCCGGAGAAGAAGAACGTCACCTCCCCGCGGCTCGGAGTGTACTTTTACTACGCGGAAATGACGCGGGCGCTCGCGAACGCTCACGCTGCGCCCATCTGCGCACGATGGTCTCCCACGCTTGCTAAAAATCTCCGTCGCAGCTGTCATAACCCGGGAACTATAAGTGACCGTATAAACGACGATACACGCGGGCTCCATGATCTCCTGGAAGCACCGTGATGCGAGTGACATGGAGCTTCAATAAAATTTTCCGGAACATATTGCCCGAGACAATCCTCTTTTTTCCCCGAAAACAAAAAGCAAAAATCGCCCGAAATTCTGCAAATTCGCGAGGGTGTTTATATGCGTGTACACGCAGAGGAAAATAATTTGCTACAGCAAATTGTATACTGTCACAGGAAAATCTGTCAGTTACCGTGTGGACAGCAAAACGATTTGTTAAGAGCGCTAATTGTCGTCCGCTGGATTACTTTGCTGAATCTGAAAATTATTTTTGCTGTAAGAACAGATTAGTAAATATAGAAAAACACTATTTTGTTCTAGCAACGAATTAACGCGTTTTAAGGACAAGTTCATTCAGCAGAATATTTTCTTTATTATATACTGGCGATGAAAATATTTCTGCTTTAATTACGAATAATTTGCTAATTTGGTTTAGTGCTGTCAATTTCGATTACCCGAATCTTACTTAATAATTCAGTGTACGGTTAATTTCAGAAGTTACAAATTATTGATTTTTCTAATAATAATAACGAATAATAATAATAACGTCTGAAATTAACCGCATATTCAGTTTGCATAAAGAGTTTGCTACAACAGCAACATTATTTTTCTATGTATTTTTGGATATGTACATGTGCGAGTTACGGATAATCCGATTTCTTTAAAACTGAGATAATGCTGATATCTCTGCTCGGATACTCAAGAAAATAAGAAAAGCAGCAAAAAATGTGGGAATTGTAACGTGAAACTGTGACGCTTGTTATTCTCGAGGAGAAAGATGAAAGTTTTGCATCTTGATCACGGCCTTATAATGCATTTCAGAGCGCGGTCATCAATTATTGTTACGTTAATGTAGATTAAAAATCCAAGGGTAAAGCTATTTCTTACTTTATTCACGACGAGACGGGGTTGCCTTGGGAATACGTTTCAGAGAAAGACTCCAGCGGCTTCTGGTTGAGGAGGGAGAACAGATTAAATTCAAATAATTTTCTTCTTCGTGATCCGATATTCGAGCGGCAATAAGCTTCTCTAATTACACCCGGCCGCTTATATGCTTAACGCAAATCCCATTTTGAGACGCAGTCGTGAAGGCTGTGTTACCTTACCGTCACCGTGAACTTTAAAACCCATCGCGATACTTCCTTGTTACGAGATCGAATGCGACAAATGATACACGAAGGAAATAATTTCGTATGATTTCACTTGATAACGCAGTAGAGATCCTGATTATCTAACGTCACCGGGGCAGCGTAAAAATCAACAAGAAAAGAAGTAGACGACGTTAAATGTTTCGAGGGGGTAATCCGTTCGGGAGAAAATGGCGCCGCTAAATCTCCATCAACGTGACCGGCCGAATCGTAAACGTATTCCCCCTGCGTATGTTCAAGCGGCAAAAAGAATCCGTTGTAATTACCGTAAACGGCCGCGGACGCTATGATTCACCGCGTCACGTAACGATCGGCGTAACTACTTAACCGGATAAATTGTACACACAGAGCATAATTGCCGGGAACGTAATAAATCTGTCTTTCATTAAACGCCGCAATTATATTACGCGCAAAGCCCTTTGTTCGTTCTTTTGCCGCTAATTATTCGGGCACAAAGTACTCGTTAACCCGCGGGATGAAGTATAAAACGGTTTTAACTCTTTATCGCTCGGTGAGAGAATAATTTCGCAGCAAATGCTCACGAATTCGGGGCCCTCGATCGCGGTTTAATACGCTCGTTACGTCTCCGGGTTCGATTTCATCGATCTTCCCGACGATGAGAACGCTGTTATTATCCGTGAGTCAATTTTCCGTCTGTCCCGCGCGGATATCTTGAAAATCCGCGAAGCGGGGAGGATCAATAAACGGACGTCCGGTCGAAAATTTCGCAGAGTCCGCGCGCGTCATCCGTTACACACACTTACCGAGAAGCCCGTCTCAATTAACGTCATAATTTGCGATTCCCGTTTTTCGGAAGCGCTGGAATTTCGCTGCCGCGTATCCAGCGAAACACCGCGCCGCTAGGAGCCAATAACCGAATACAAGCCGCCCGATATTACAGACTCGTGTATCCGAGAACGCGTCCGATCGAGAAACGATCATTTAGTGGCGAAAGCGTAGTTAAACGGAGAACCATATCCGGCGGAGAGGGGAGGGAGGGGGATGCTCCGGGACGGCGAGGTGGCTGATAATTTTATTGGAAACCGCGCATGCACTTTACAACCGGCGAATGCAAACTGCTTTGGACACTCGCCAGAAGGACCCGGCCATTGAAATGTTATATGGGCACTTCGCCGACAGCAAAAGCTCCGGCGGAAGTCGCGAACGCTCGATTCCCTGCGCTTCTGTTTTCGTCCTGCCCGAGAAAAAAAACTCTCTCCCTCTCTCCTTCCCCCCCCCCCAAAAAAAGGAAAAGGAGAGAAAAAACCGGGAAGGAAAGAGGCTAATTCGAAACTCCCCGCTTTCCGAGGTGGAGAACCGATCGTGTTCTTGTTCGCCGCGATTTAGCCGACTCGACGTTGCCCACGCGCGCTATTAACACGTACAGGATGTTGCCCGCGCGACGAATGAAGTTCTTCCTCCTCGTGCCGCATTCCTGGTTGCGCTTATTAGCCGCGGCGAACGCCCGCGGCGGATTTTGCGGGCTCCCCGCCATTTAGGCACAATTCAGCGTTAATATACCGTGACAACATCGTCTGAAAATCGTCTTACGCAGTTTTCCCGACTCGCGCGCCGTGTCGAGCAATCTTCAGCGGGAAAACTGCGAAAACACGGGAAGTTCGAGGCTGCCCTGCGAAGCGTCACGTAGCCTCGCGAGATAACTTGTTTCGTAATATTGTTGAGCGTTGTCCGAGAACGGTGAGCTCTTGCTCACTTGTAAATGTTGGATTAAATCGCAGGTTCGCGTTCGGATGACATTGGTAGCTTTAAATCGGTAGTAATAATATTGATTTATGGGAAAGCGCCCTTTATTTGTACAAAAATAGGCCTAATAGCTAGTAAGAATGCAAATATCTAATCGATGTTACGTCCAAAAATAAATTATAAGTTAATAGTGAAGTACGAACTAGTAAATATAAGCAGTACATGAAAAGGGAATAAATATATTAATATGAATTAATTAGTAGGTCGAGTTAAAGATGGGTAGTAAGTGAAGTTTTGAAGTTTGAAGACATCATGCTGAAAAAGTCTGTCTTAGATGAATATTCATTGACTACACAGTCACACACAATCTGTTAATACGAATTTTAACGTAGGAAATCTCATAGCACTCCACATAAAAGAGAATTTCTAAAATATCTTGGAAAAACATTAAGTTTCAATCGCTCCGAGACATCCGGACAATTTACAAAATGAATGGGAACTTCAGAAAGGAACGGATGCTCAGCCATAATTCTTCTAATTAATAGAGAATGCAAAATATCATATAAAAGAGGTTGGTAATTGTGAAAAGTGATAGGAATTAGCTTACTCATTGAAAGGGAATTAAGAGAATATCTCTAAAAATTATGTGCTTGTTACATTCATGATATTCGTTTGTACGTATGTCGCACACATCGAGAGAGTATCTAATATCATCATTATTATTACCTCGTATCGATATCTAAGTTGCATTACTCCGTCCGTAACAATACTTCTTCCGTTTACCTCCAAAAGTGGAAGAACTCTCCGCGGTCAGACAATCGCGGCAACGTAAATTTGCCGTAGCGCTCAATGCATAGCTCACGAACATCCCTAAGTCAATAGTTCCCCGGTGAAGGCTGAGTAACGCATTTACCAGCGATCCCAGGAAACGAAGAAGTCCAACAGCCGTCTAGAGGACTCTCCCATATTTCTCCATATTTCTCCGTAGAGGATAAGAGCGTGGAAACTGTACCTTCCTCCCTACATACATATATATATATATATATATATATATCGTCTGCATAAATAAAGAATTGGATTAAGAAATGCATTCCTCGAACGCGTTCCTCGCGCGATGCAACACCTCCCGCGCCGAGCTCGGAGGGATTAAAGCACCCCATGCGGCGCGAGTACCATTGTTACCCACGAAGCTCACCTGTACGTCGCGCTCGTCCGCTGGTTCGTTCGTTCTGCCGGGCAGACGCGGCCAGGCGAGCGCGCGCAGGTGAACGAGGGGGCACTTAGCGCGAAATGTTTCCCTCGCACCTACGTTCTCACGGCAGGCCACATCCTTTTCGCGACCCCGGTCGACCCCGAGATACCTCCGGACTCGTTGCAACGTCCCGATGTGCGCCGCGGCACGAAACGAGACGCGCTCTCGGGTGCGAGAGAGCGAGACGGAGAAAGCGAACCCGCCGTAATAAATTTACCCGTTCCGGTCTTGTTGCAGCATCATATAAAATTAAGGCACGGAAGGCACCGTCGACAACACGGCGAGAGTTATCAGCCGAGCTTCTTCGTGCCGGACACGGACGAGCCTGAGAGTGGCAACTGGGGACCATGGTCGTCGCCGAGCTCCTGTTCGCGCACCTGCGGCGGCGGGGTCGCCCATCAGACCAGACAGTGTCTCGACATAGAGTGAGTTACCATACTTTATGAGCCGGCGCGTTTATCGGCTATCCGTTACCCCGGGAGTAGACTAGACGGAACGCCGCTCACCGTGAGATACGATATTGAGAGGAATGTCGAACGAGAGCGGAGTGCCGGTTGGGGTTGGGCACGTACAAGAAGAACATCTCAATAACGCTCCCGCGGTATCTGCCCGTGGAAAATGGAAAAACGGCGCCCTCCGGGCCGACGAGAGAGAGAGAGAGACGTTGCGACTGTTAATTCTGCCTGCTTTCTTTCTTCTTTTTTTCTTCGTGTTTTAAAGAATATCCCAAGAGGATGCCAAAGTCGATGAGCGTCGATAGCGCAGAAGTAATCTTTAAAATGTTGCATAGGCACACACATCGACACGATCACGTTACTCTTTTCGTATTGATCGTACATATAGATCTTAAATGTAAGTGTGATGAATGCACTTTGTTTCGCTACTTTGTCTCGCTGTGCCTAAAGGAAAATCTACCATAGCCAAGATGCGTAAAAATTCTTCTCCAAAATCGTCGTATTCCTTTAGGTCTCTAAATTCGATTGAAAAGGTATTAAGATGTTCCTTGGAATTTTTCTGATCGGATTATCGATACGTTTGACACACGTACAAGCTGCGGGAATTCTGCGTAAGATAAATATTTACTGCTAATTGACAGCTCGGAGACGTCAGTTTTGATATTATTTGAATCCCTTCCGTCGCATACCGTGCGACGCTACAAATTCATTCTTTCAGCGCGTACTTTTCGCCGTGTAAAAGCATTTATAACTCTGACCAAAATAAAATCAGCATTCTGCCGGCAAAATTGTCAAGTATGGCATCCTCTTAATATCCCCTCGGCGGGAAATTCTTCGCGCGCGTTATCTCGGGAGATAAGTAAACACACCACTGCCATTCCGGCTGTATATGTGCGCATGTACCGTCGTCGCGCTGCGAGGATTATTATCGGCGGCGTATTATTTTCGCGACCATGTTCGCGCGCGCGCGCGCAAATTCGCGGGACGTGTGAGAGAATTTACTCGGCCACTTTAAAGTTTGTTCTCGGTTGAATCTCCGCCCGAAGGAAGCCATTCCGTCTCGTTGAGTTCCTCGCTACCCCCGGAACTCGCTACAATGGTATGCTCAATTGGATTGAGATTGGATTAAAAGCGGACACAAGCTTGCAAAGAATTTAATCAAGTCTCGATCCGCACCGAATGCCTGAATAGCCCGGTGTAATGGCGCGTAAGCAGCGAATCGAGGAAACCGCTTATTGAGGCGCTAATATACGTTGCATAAGTGATGGGTTCTGTTTAATTCCGGAGTCCCAAGTCTCGATCGAATTTTCGAAATTTCGTAAACGTAATGAACAACTTTGCAAACGTAATCTTGTAAACGTAATGAGTGAGTGCCGCGGCACATTTTTATTTTCTCTCGCAGCAGATCTCTTTCGTCCCGTGTTAAAGGAGAATCTTGATGCGGTGAGACGGCAAATCAATATGGAACGAATGATATACCATAACGTCGAAGGAATAGAATCAAATAATTCATACGCTAGGAAGAGAGAGGGAGAGAGAGAGAGAGAGAGCAGCGCAGTTCGATCAATCCTTTTTGCAACGCGGACGTCGCGCGCGACTAAATTTCGGATAAATCAACGAAACTTTTCCCTTAGTGCACGTCCCGTAACGGATTCGCCGTAAATCCTTCTTATCTCGAAACTAAGGGAAGATTAATCGTAGGCACTTACACGTCTCCCCGGCGTCACGCTATCTCCGGGAAATTCTCACGATTTCCCATCGCGAGGACGAGTCGCAATTAAAGTTGGCTTTAACACCGCGGTTACGTAAAGTGGAAAACTGGGAGAATGACCGATCGATGATCGACATATTGTGCCGGCATCGGGACGAGTCTGTCGTTAATGATACGGTGCGCTTCTAGAAAGCGAGATAATCGTAACGTGAAAGCGCGTAATGCGCGCGGCAGCCCCGATCATCGGATGCATCGTGTATCCACGGGTCATCGGAACGCGACATGCATCGGCCGCTGCTACGATTTAATCGCAAGGAAAACGCATCATTTTCGCGAGATCGTGCTTTCCGCGCCTGCAATCGATTAGAAATCGCGTTTAATCGGTGCGCGCGAGAAACCGACGGGGAAAAATCAAACCCGCGGTTGTACGAATTTCTAATTTCCATCTCCATCCGATTACTTTACCTCGTGTTAACCCTAGCTCGCCACGTTCCGGCCCAGTGGGCCGTTAAACGCTTTTCGGTCTTCTAGTTTTTACATAGCATACCATTTTTTTTTTTTAAGGCGTCCGTTACAACGAGCGAACATTAATTTTCTCTTAAATCGCATTTGCGAAACCGTTTGAGCATTTTTTTCCGAAAACACTCTTTTTCTTATAATAATAAGTTCAGTTTAAACCCTAATCATTTTCCTGACCTGATATCATAATCCGATCTCATTCAGACTCGGTATTTCCAATTCTCGCACTACAAGTTTAAACATATTAATTAGAATAAAAAGAAGGCAAGGCGACAAAGTCGAGCAGACTCGCAGACCGTGGCGAATTATAGACTTGAAAATAAGTGTGGCTAACTAGGGTTAAAAATTATATGATTGTTGGAAAACTCTGATACATCAAGGTAATAGCGTGACGTAATCATATAAATCTGATAAGACTTTACAATTAAAGATAATTTCCAGTATTTCGGGATGATTTTTCGAACTTTCTTCAGAGAACCGTTGCAGGCACGTCTCCCATATTTCGCAAAATTCGGGAAAATGCAATAAGAACACGTCGATTTTCCGACCTGAAAAATCGGAAAACTTCTTCAAGGTCTACGTAAACGCGAACGTAGACGTGGACATTAATACTACAAGATGTAAATACGTAAATCTTCGAATGTTCCCTTTAAAAATTTTATCAAGAAGAAAAGAGGTACATACCCGAGCGATAAATTTTTAAATATCAGACTATCTCGTACGAAATAAGTAAGCAGCACTTACCGGAATACCGTAGAAATTTATCGAGGCGAGAATCTTAATCTCATTCTCGGCGAGCCTTCCGCTGGACGTGAAACGACGTGAGATCATCATTGATCATTTTCCATTTCTCACGGTACAGATTTCATAAATCACACACGTCCGAACTATTCGAAGACAGACAAAAGCCGAAGACCGATATTTTCTCTCCCCTTATATTTTTTTTCTTCTTTATTTTTTAAAACCAAAACGGGAAAATTCACTTGAATAAGCGATCAGTTATAAATTCAACGGAGTGTAAATTCGCGATTAAGAACCCGCATCGGGCATGAGAAGCGCGGAAACGCGAAGCGTAATTGAGATCCGAATCGATTCGGAGTGAATCGGAGTGAGAAGTAACTATAGAGAACACGTTCTACATTATCAAGTACGCAATCGGTATTGTCCCACCACTTGTTAGATGCTGTGCGCGTGTATTTCATCCCCCGGGCGCGATTACTGTAGTTACATGTCAAATGAATGCCTGATTGTGCCTATCCTTTATCCTAATTACGATATCAGCTTCAACAGTGCCATAACAACGTCATTGTGACATTGTGAACGAGCGAATGTACTCCGATATTACATAGGGATTACATAGAGATGAACTTCGGTCGAATTCGCTCAATCACTATGGAAAATCTATAATTTGTGCCAGGGACTTTACTATTACAGAGACGACATATCGTGAATTGATGTATTCGTAAATATATTCGCAAATAGTTTTAATCCTAAGAAAAAAAAACACACGTTCGTAAGTAACGACAGTTCCAACACGGAACCCGGTAAAGCACGGCAACCCAGAGCGTAATTGAGACCCGAGAATCTCTCTCTTTCTCTTTATTTCTCTTCAATACAGAATGAGGACGAAAAAAAGAAAGGATAACTACAGAAAACACGTTCTACGTTATCGAGTATCCGCAATCGGTATTGTCCCTTCTTTAAATCCTTCGACTTCTACGAAAGTAACATTCCTTTTCTTCTCTATGATGTTACAGTGACGATGGCCACGACAGGTGCGCCGGCTCCGCCAGGAGATACTTTTCGTGCAACATCCAGGTGAGTGGAGGATAAAAGTAGGAGAAGCCTCCGAATTCGAGCGCGAACCGTATCAATTGTTTCGTCGGCGAATTCACGCGCACTTGGTGGATGCGATCATGTCGTCTTTCGTCGGCGTGATAACGTTGGCCTCGAGATGGCCGCAAAAAGGACACAGCATGTCGCCGTGGGAATGCCGCGGGCTCTACGTGAGCCGAGTACGATCTGGAACTTGATTAATTGCCGTGAAACAGGGAGTGATTTATGCGATGTGCTTTAATAGATCGAGCAGCCTCTGACGGTCTATCGAGAGGCGGCCCCTGCGGCACAGACGCGTGACGCGCGCTTCAATTATTCGCGTCTGCGAGCAAACTGAAATCAATGAGTCGAGGTCTCGCGGTCCCTCGCTTCCTCGCTCGCGCGCGTACGATTCTTACACGTCGTCATACAGAATGTCTGTGTGTACGTGTGTGTGTGTGTGTGTATGCACGTGTCGGAAATAATCCGAGCGTTCCACGAGCCAGTCACGTGGAAAACCGCGATTAATCCCGCGAATTATACGTCGGCCGATCGCAAGGAATGATTGATTTCGACGGATACACTTACGTTGTATCTTTTCGACGGAATATACCTGCGTTCGGTCTTTAAAATACGAGAGGCAACGATTAACACGTCAACTCTTGACACCGTTTGCTGCCGTGAATCCTACAGGCCCCGTGATAAACTTTCCGTTTAGACCGTCTCTTCATATATTTGTTATTTAAATATAACTTATAAACATTATAACGCATATATTATAAATAAAATTGTTAGTTCCGATAACGTGCGATTCGTAACGGTACAAGAAGAAAGTCGTGAGAAATCAGTCCCGACGGCGAACGCGTCAACAATCTTTCAACGACCGACTTGCATCTTTATTTAATTCGGCTTCCTCGCTAAAGCAGAGGCACGGTAATTGTGGCGTGTGTACGTTGTTTCAATCCTCTGTCTAAGTTTGAATACTGTCGTTTCGTCGCTGCTCTTTGCTGACCGTACGTTTCATTCGCTGGGGTGGAATTGATCACGCGAGTTAATTAGACGCGCAAGCGTGAAAACGCCGCTCACCTGATCGCCGTGGTGGTCGAATTCCGCTTTACTCGTCTCTACGAGCTCGTGGAATTTAGACGCGCTTCAGGTTCGCGCGCAGGAAGATAAAAACTCTTCCTCGGTGCATTCACTTTCGCCGGTGACTGTGCGGCGCGCACGGTGGCGCGCACTTTCAGCCGTATCGGCTGCCGACATTTCGACGACGCTCGGCAAATCGTCGGCCCATTCATCGCTCTAAAAGTCGTCCAACCAAACGGGACGAGTGCATATGTACCGTCTCGCGTTTTTACGACTCTCGGATGGGGCTCCCGTGCTTTTAACTTTCACGACGCATCCGAGCACACCCTCGAGTATCCTCGGCGAGGATTTAGTGGTCGCTTTAAGGAACGATCTTTACTGCCGCAGTAAACTTTTAATCCCCCCTCTCCCGCTCTCGTTCGCGTTTTCAAAGGAGACGCGCACGTGGCGACGTGTAGGAAGACGATCGGCGTGCGTTATCGTCGACTCCGAAGACTCATCGGAATTTAATAGCGCAATTTCCCGAAGAAAGAAATAACAGGAGCGCGACCCAGCAAGAAGCGTGATTTATTTACACGCCTTTTTAAATGAACGCTCGCTTTGCTCGCTCGTCCGTTCGTTCGCGCGTATTCACGAGCTGCGTTCTTTAAACTCCCGCGTATATCGAGCCGTTTCTCCGAGGCTCGTTTATATGCTCCCGGGGAATTATGGGACACTCGCCCCCGTTGCATCGCCGGTTTACGTTCTCTACTTTGTCGGTCGTGCATAAGCGGATCCGCGTAAATCGAGCAGGCGTATAATAACGAGAAGGCAGCGCGGATAAAGGAGGCGCAGAAGACGAATTCGAGTGCACGAAACCCACGCGTACACGGAGCTTTTTGCTTCCGTTCTGCGCCGTTGCACGCTCCCGTTTCGGAGAATAATCGAAACGGGAGATTGCTACCGTTGGAATCGTCATTTTAATCGAACGTACCGCGAGATTTTCGCGCTCCGACTCGCGCTCGCCGGCTGGCCCGGTGACCCCATAAACCCGACCCGACCTGTATAATATCTCCGCTTTAACAGGTTCTCTTCTTGGCAATGCGGTACGTGAGTGCTCGCGATTCGCTCGGTAAAAGCTCGGCAATGGAGAGGTGCGTTGTACGGAGTAACGATAGCGGACCATTAAGTAAACGTTTACTCTTTATCGTACACGCGGCTCCTGCTTTTACCTCGCGCTACGACGAACAACGCGAATGTCGAACTTCATACGCGGACCTGCGTCGAAACTGCAGTGATATTTTACAATTACCGAACGACCGTTCGGCGGATTGATTTTCTTTATAATATCACAAGCGCCGGCACCGACTGCTTCTATTTTGCTCTCGACGATTAACTTTAACCCCTGTCCCAGATCTTTCCGAGCTGTCCAATTGTTTCGACCTCATATTTTTAGGGCCAATTTATACAATGCTGATTTCGTCACGTGCGTAAGTCGACACTGCCTTAATCCGGGTTCTTTTGACTTCTTCGCCAAGTCGATAAACCCCTTTAAAACATCTGCTGCGTTTGCGTCAGTCCGATAATAAGATCGTGTGTTTATGCTGTTATCGAATGTTTATATCTTATCAAATGGTTGCATTCGCCTCACATGTTTACTCGCCCTATTTACATTTTTCTTGCTTCTTATGCTTGCGATCACGTTTACTGGTAAGCGCGTACACGCGCATCTGTGCGCATTCGTCTTTTTTATACTAAAAGGGTTGTCCTATTAATTAGACAAACAAATAAGCAAATAGATAAATAAATTTTCAGTGCACGGGGCTCGTCGATTAGTTTGTTCCGTCCCGAGAAACCGACGTATAACTCAACGTTAATAACGTGAGCGCGAGATCACGCGAGTTCAAGTTTCTCGTTAAGTCGCAGTTTCTCTTCATACTCCTCCAAATATAAATTACCACGAACGATGGTACAGGAAATTTGGAGAAGGACGCCTTGGGAACTTCAGTTTCTTCGGCCTCGATTTCATTCTCTCGAGTATTCACGTCGACACGTGACTGCGATCAATCCAGTCTCATTTCGCCGTTATAATTTTTTCGATCGAATTTGTCGTGAGCTATCGGCTTTTCATTTCGAGGCGAGCAAACAGAAATGTTCTCCCCCGTTTGCTTGCGATAAAGTCACATTAATCCCAAAGTAAAATTTTTCACGTAAGTTCAAACGCGAAAGAAAGGACGGAAATCCAACGTGATATCGCAAAAGCTCGGGGAATTTACGGTGACATTTCCATTATGCCCTCGCGCTCTCGCGGCTTATAGAGAAATTATGATTAATTAACCGCAATTAGAATCCCCATGGCATAGATTCTGCCTTTTGGTCGTGAATTTTTTGCTGTCAAAACCGCCGAGCCATTTAATCGCCCGCGCGAGCGCACAGATAACGAGGGAGAAAATTATTTTGATAAAAATATTACCCAGCGGAGGAGACGCAACGTGTCTCACTGTTGTGCAATCACGACACGGAGCTAAGAGAGTGTTGCGTAAGCACCTGAAACTGACATGACCTGAAAGTATCGCTTGCATTCGAAGACGTTGGCTTGACATAATCGAAGAGTTCGATTGAATATGAAGATAATTGGGAAATATGCATATATTTTAATTACGTTTATTTTAAGATAAAGATACATTTTTAAATTTATAACATATTAATATATTAATTAATATAATGTCAATATATTAATTAATAAACGTCAAGTATCAATACATACACGGAGAAAAAGGTTTCCTTGAATTTAGTATACGTATTTGTTTGATTTGGGTTTATTTAATATAAACAACTTAATTTAATATCAAATATCATTTTGTTTGAATAAAAATATTGTCGCTTCACTAGAGTAAATTGTGCTGTTTGATACAAAAAACAGTATTATTTGGAGGAAATAATATTTCGTTCGCAATAAAAGATTTATTTTATTATATACTAATTATTGTTTCGCTGAAACAAAGAAATTCTGTAATATTTTTCTAACATAATGTTATTTATTTTACAGTGTTACTTATTTCAAATAATTTAATACTCGTAATAACTGTTTATATATATTGTTTGTTGGGTGAAAATACAAGAGAAATATGTTATTTGACGTAAAGATATTTAATGTTCGAAAAACCATACAATCCTATTTGTCGAATTAAACATTCGTTTGTTTGTTCTATTCTAAAAGAAAAATGTGTTTTAATTAGAGAAATTTTATCAGATCCGAAGAAAACTTTCCTTGTGTATATATAATATATTGAGTGATTAATATAATGCCATAAAAAATATTCTGTGAATTTTCGATATTTCAATATTTTCTTACGCTCTACATAATTCATCCGAAACAAATTTATCAGAGACCGAGTTTCCACATTGAATAATTCAAGATGATTGATTGGTTTGATTAATTGTCTAATATTTTCTCCGCTATATCTTTTTTTGTTATATCAATTTCTTTGATTCCGACACAATGTGGTAGACGTTGGAATTCGCGTGAATCGACGAAAATGCAACGACGTGGCGGAAAATGTCGAGACGCAACTCACTCGAAAAACGTGCTCCACATTATTCCACTGCGCTCGGATAATCACCGTGCGACGAAACGGCGTCCGAGCACGTGGTGCACTGGCGGCTGCCTGATGGCCCGCGGGAGATTTATGAACGGAAGGCCATTATGTGTGCAGCATCGACTCGCGAAGTATTAACTTCGTTAGAGCAAAGTGCTAACTGAAACGAATAGCAGGGATATACCGCTGCGCCGACTACCGATGGTATCGATTTCCCGGACCGACGGCAGTTACATCTCATTCCGATAATAGTCACTTTGAAGCATTCTTATATAATGATCAAATGAAATATGAGACGAGCTATCCGAATCCTTTCATTCCTAAATTCCAACCTCATAAATCGCACACCGGTTTCAAATCAAACCAGTGAAAATTTCGCTGCGCGACATGGAAATCTAAATCCGCGCGTCTTCCGAGATCTGATTAAATTTGATTCGCGTAATTTAACGCTGACGTATCGACGATCAATTGTTTCCTATTCTCCGTTATAGGCGAGCGAGTAGGGAAATGAATATATCGATTTAGCAGTCTCATTTCCCGTCTCCCGAAACTGAAACGACAGGTGTATCTCGAAGGAAAAAATAATAATGCGTCCTCCCATCGACGCAACCACGAATAAACTCGAGAATCAGCCGCGCCGACCACGAAAAAATTATAGACGCGAACTCGAAGCGCGGCCGGATTTCTTTAATGAAGCCGAGCTTTAATTAAGAGTTAGCCGTAATTACGGATGACCTTACGCGTATTTAAAGAGCCGCCGCCGCCGCCGCCTCCGGCGCCGGCGCCGCTTTCGATTCTCAAGCAACGTTTCCTTTCTTCCTTTGAAACGCGATACTCGTGACTTTCTAGTCAAGGACGACTGACGATACCAGCGGGGAACTCGATTTTATCTGTCGACGCCACGTAGGTGGTCGACGTCGGTTTAATATAGCGAAAGCTTTGTGCTTAATTCGAGCCGAATGTTGCAACGAAGCCGCAAATTTTGACGACGTCTGGTATCGTTTTACGCGCGAGGACGCGAGGACGGGGAATACGCGGCGACCGTGTGACTTCTTTTCAGGCAAACTTACAGAGACGTAAATAAACTTATGGATTTCTTTTACATATTTTCAGCGTTATCATCCGGTCACTTTTTCTTGACAAGTCTGAAAGATTCACTATCGTTTCAAATGAGTTGAATCACTTTTTTCCTGAACTGCCATTAAAAATTTGTAAAATACAAACGTTCTATATATATTTTTACCGATCCGTTATCTCGTCCGACTTCTCCGCATTGGAAGTCAAGCATTAAGTTTTACACAAATATGAAACTGAAAAATGACATTTATACCTTTCAAGAGACTGAAATTCATTTTTTATCTAATAAAATATACTATTTATTTCATTTGATAAAACTGCTCCAAAAGCGTACTTGTATCATTCATGCCCTCGGTTTTTTCTGTTTTGAACTTTTAGACTATACTATAAAAAGAATTTGCTATACCTCAAATTACCTAAACCCACAAGTAAAACTACTCTTAGAATTTAACAAAAAAAATATATCACTTTCGGTCACTATTTTGATGTCTGAGTGATCATTTTTATCGTCACCTTTTCTGCCGAGAAGAGTCACTGCTTCATATTTTTTAGTTCATGATGACTGGGTGACAGCGCGGTATCTCTTCAATTCTCTGCGTCACTTCGTACATTCTCCGAATATTCGTATTAATTCTCTATCGAAAATGAGATAAAGCATGTATGTCTCAATGCACTCCCGCGTAGTAGACTCTCTCGTCGGCGTCGTTTTCAACCGGAAAACGCGCTTACATAATTTACAGCGCGACGCGCGGAGTCCCCTAGATTTCGCTCAATTGACTTCCCTCTGCGGCAAATATGCGGGAAATGAGACGTTAATATAACTCGTCCGCCGGCGTTTCGATAATTTGTTTCTCGTGTACTTTTTCCTTGTTCATTTGCGGCTTCGCCCCGATATCTTCCCCGGGATAAATCACCCTCCTCTATAGGTCGATCGCACGATCACGACGAAATAGTGATGTACGACGCGTCATTTTCAGCCGGCGGCGGCCAAACACGGATTCACTCTAACAGGATAACCGAAGTATCTCGCGTGACACACGGAACAACACCGACTTGTTCAAGACTGAACTCGAATAATAAACATTTTAATGTCGCGTCAGTCGCTCCGGCTCTTACCGGCCCGTTCTTTCCTCATTAGATCGCAGCAACAACGACGCACAAATATTTTATATAAATAATGTGTAAATATCTCGCGCACGATGTAAATCTCTGAGCGTGCGCGCGCGCGCGCGCAAGTTGCGAAAATTACAGCTGAGCGCGGTTTAAGCCCGCTACAAATGACGCCAAGATTTTCCGCGAGCTCATGAATACCCGACGGCCATTGTGCGCGACGGACAATTAACCGTCCCATTATCCCGGGCGTTAAAATGCGCGGGGTAAACGTTTCGACGCGCGTATCGCAGCAATTTGTTTCTCGCGTACGAGCACAATCGCCGGCCGACGAGAATTCTCGATCTTCCCGCACGGAGTATGGGATTGCACCGTTGACGACGGCGACGATCCTGCGGAGAGTTACGAAATGTGACGCGGCACGTAATCCGACGAGGACGCGCACCGGCTCTCCTAAGGGCGATAGATTTAATTAATCCCGAACACAACTCGAAATCCGCACCCCGCCGGCCGTCCGAGGTCGATCGCTCCTCGCTGCAACGCGTGCGGCCTAAAATAATTCCTTATAAATTTCACGGCTAGTACGATTGGCAACATTCGTCATCCGCAACGTCGTTGTCGCCCCCACCGACCTGAAACTTTTTCCTGAACGTCGCCTCGCCCTCTTTCTCTCTCTCTCTTTCGCTCACCCTGACTCATCCTGTCCCTGCCTGCCACCCTTTTCGTTCCGTCCGCAAGAAATCTCCCGCCATAAATCCTGCTCCGTATCCTTGTGCGTGGTACCGGTCCCGTCGGGGTATCTCTTCTTCCTTTTTACTCGGGTTCCACTCGATTTATCGACATTACCTGCCCCTCGGGTCTGCCCTACGTGGCGTCCATCTACGGGCCATCTCATTTTTGCGGGGCCGTTCACGAAATAGCGCGGCAGCACGCGCTCGTTGATTTCCGCGGGCGGGAGTACATTTTTTCCCGATCTTGCGACAGTTGTAGGGCCGTCGTGGGATTTAAGCCGGAAGCTGCGATGGATCACGGCTCGGGTTCACAATGTGAATTACATGTTACGTGCGACGGGAATTCGGTGAATCTCTAATTGAAAGGTTCGATCACGCGCGGGTCTTTGCGTGCCGGGAGGGATGAGATCGGCGTCGGGGGACGAGCCGAGTGAACTTAATGAAGGCGACGTGGCCGAAAAATAGGAACATACCGGCCCAATGAGCCACGGACCTTTCCGTCCCTTCATTTCATCCCGTGACGAGACACTTGGGCCGCTCATAACGGCCGAGCGTTTCCTCGTACGCACGAAAGCTCAAAGCCGTCGGGATTTATTTCGAGTTCGAGGTCGGCGAAAACGAGGGCGCGAAAGCGCAGTGAAATGCGCCGGGAAAAAAGTCGCGGAAAACATTCGCGCGTCTCTCGCCGCCGCTCTCCCTGTGCGCGCCGCGCGCATCGTTGGGTCGCGCTGCTTTTTTCATCCACGGCGAGAATTCGCGGGCCAGTAATTATCGTAGTTACGCCGCGCTGCTTTATTTCCGTCGACGGCGGGCGCGCGGAGCTTGCGAAGGGCCAACCGCAGCTGACGTTATTTCTCGCGAGCGAGCGTGCAACCGCGCGTTCTTTATGCTGTATATTCCGAATCGCCGGCCGATATTCAGCGCTGAGGATCCGCCGACGCGCGTCCGTTCCGCGCGAAATATCGCGGAATTCCGCGAGTAAATCGCGCTCGCCTCCTAAAATCCGCGCTGACGCCGGTGGAAATATCACGTGACTTTTTCATGCGATTTTCGCGCGCATCGCTCGCGAAAGTTATACGTCCGAGATAGCCGCGAACACGCGGAGCTCATTTTTCTCGCTTAAGGTAGTTGGCCCGTAAATTAATTTTCTCAGGAATCTTTTCGAATTTTCATTCCTCGAAACACGATCTGCACACATGGAAAGTTAGAGAATGAGTGACCATACCAGAGCTGAGGTCATTTGAGCCAGAGTTAGCGTTACTTACACGCACGTGGTGAGTCGCAAAAAGATTGCAACATTTTCTTTATAAGCTTTGAAACGCATCCTGTAGCATCCAATAGGACAATTTGTTTTTTAGTCATTCTCAGGAGATACATTTTCCTATTGGTTACGAGATGCGTTGCGCCAAACTTATCGGGAAAATGTGTCGCAACTTTTTTGTGACTGACTATATATCACTGGTACGGAGGCGGCTTTCTATATCGAATTTTAATTCTAACAAATAAATTACTTTTACGGTTTTAATGAAAAAAACGAGAAAACGACAAAAAAAACTCGTAGAAATATTACAGAAAAGTTACCAGATTATTTACCTATAATAGTTTTCCAGAAGTTGATGCGTAAAACTTACAATCTCTGATAACGGTTGAAGTATCTAACTTGTAAAGATTTGGCAGCATGCGCTATATTTCTCTTTGTGCGTCTTGGTTGGTTATTTTTTCAAAGGTAGAACGATTAAATAAACTTAAAGATCTATAATTAATACGTAAAAATGCGAAAAAACAGAAAAATACGGGGAAGTCCAGCGTTTACGATCTCTAGTAATGTACATTCATGTGCGTCTATCGGTATATGTGCCTGACAGAGCAGCATCAGCCAAAAGTATTAAATGTCAAAGCGTGAAAAACGATTATTTCTTCATGAGTTTTTACACGTTATGTAAGTTTGATTGATACTCTTTTACTATAGTAAAAAAAAATTTTGCACATCATGAATCATTTTTATGAACATTTGGCACAGGTTTGTCAAGCTTCTTCGTATTGTGTTACCAACCGTTACTTTTCAACTAGTATCGTCACGGACTATTTTACCATATTGCCACTCGTGTAGATCTACTCTTTCCTCGACGATGGTCGATCGCTGAAAGTTTAATCGACCGATTGAATTTCTGATGATTATGAAGAAGAATGATTATTTCTCCTTTTATATTTTATCATATTGACTCCTGCATTGCACGAACCGCATACGAATTCAGGTCAAGATACGTTAGCGCAATGTATTAATAGCTCGACTTCGCGAGCTTTCGAGTGCCGGCCGCGCTTTGATGAATTTACCAGCGCGGAATTAGAAAGCGCCAACCGTGCCTTCTTCCAGGACTGTCCCGGCGAGCCGAAGGATTTCCGAGCGGAGCAGTGCGCGGAGTTCAACAGGGTGCCCTTCGAGGATGTATATTACGAGTGAGTATCGCAGCCCCCGACGCTTTGATTATCAAGACGGCCGTCTGACTGGAAATCCAGTCGAAATCGTGAAACGACGACCGCCTCGCCTGGCGTCGCGCGCGATGGTGATTTACGATCGGCGCTCTCTGCGTGGGAAGATGACGGAATCCTTTTGTGGTCCTCGGCAGCACCTAATGATCGTCCCTTCGCTCTGTAATCCGCGCACGCTTGAATCGTCTTTTAATGGGTGACACTATACTTATGGTGCTCTTTCTCGTTGGTGCGCCGTGACCCGAGCGCGGTCGGGCGGGACTCGAAAGTTTCCACCGCGAAGGGACGAGCGGTACCGACGCTCGCACAAATACCGTAATTTATCGGCTCTTGAAACGACCGATTATCTTTCATTCGCCGCGGCTGTGCGCGTACTTTTTCGTCAGGGCCGCGTCCCGTCGCTCGTCTCGGGCGCGAAGAGCGAGAGAATCCCGGGACAATGGTGATTGAACAATCGACGAGCCGCGCGATCATTGTTAACTCGCGCGACCTTCGCTAATATTATTATTATTATTATTTGCCTCCTTCCGCAGTTGGATCCCGTACATCGGGAGCCCGAATAAGTGCGAGCTGAATTGCATGCCGCGCGGCGAGAGGTTCTTCTACAGGCACAGGAACACCGTGATCGATGGCACGCCCTGCAAGCCCGACACGAATGACGTTTGCGTCAAGGGCAGGTGCATGGTAAGTTGTTAATCAGTGGGGTGTTAATTATTACGGATTAGTGTGTACGTATGAGTCGCGTGTGAACTCTCATCGCTTCGATAGAGTTGCGCTCCCGAGCGCTTTTGTCGGGACGGAGGTCTCGATCATTAAACGAAATGAGAGAAAGCGAACGTACACCGCGAGAAATTATAGTTATTTCTGAGCTCAACTATACTCCTTTTACGGTAGAATGATTAATGGGCCTGTAAGAACCGAAGCACAGCTGTGCTTAGTGCCGTTAAATATTAATACTGAATATTCGCAAGCATATTAATATTTAATGGCACTAAAACAGCCGTGTCTCGGCTCTTACAGGCCCGTTAATCTTCCTTTCCTCAGTTGGACCGAGCGGAGTCGTTGCAAATATTACGTTTCCTTTTCATGGTTTCAATCACAAAAATAGCAGTGGCAAAAAGTGCACCAGAGGTTATTATCATTGACATTGTAGTAACACTTATTAGAACAGTGATTCTTCGGACTATGATTCTTTTAATATGATAGTTATAATTACGAATATCAAATATTTTTCTCTCTGCTTAGAGTATGTGAATGCGTTACGGTCGAGTTTGACGGTGATTTTCTTTCTCGGCCAGCACGTCGGCTGCGACATGATGCTGGGTAGCGACGCCAAGGAAGACGCGTGCAGAGAATGCGGCGGCGACGGTTCAGATTGCAATACCGTTAGCAACTTATTCGACGCGGACGACCTCCATGTGGGTGAGTGATTTTCCACGATTAATGGCCGTAACGAGTGGACCCAGTGGTCCGTGATCGCATCCCGGCGAAATTACGACGCGCAGTCTACAACGTCGTCCACACCGGGGGCTTTTATCGAGAGATAAATTAATTTCTCGCTACTATGCGAAACTACTTACAGCCAACCGTGCCACTCGGTGATGCTAATAACGCGATAACAGAGAAGTGTTGCGCATCTTTCAGGTTACGTCGATATCCTGTTGATCCCCGAAGGCGCGACGAACATCGCCATAAGGGAAGTGCAGCCGTCAAATAATTATCTCGGTAAGCGCGAACGAGATCGAGCATTTCCGAGTCGAAATTGTTAACCCTATGTTGAACCTTTAATTCTGCAACACGATAGGAACCGAGTTAGCAAAATGGGCTCAGTATTTCAGTCCCGACAATATAATTTACTTCTACTTGATCTTAATGTGATATCTTAAGTTTCCGTTTTCGCTGTTCTAAAGTTAAAATAGGTTGTTCTAGGTAACGTTAAAATGAAATCCATAGAATTAAAGGTTCGAGAGAGAAGTTAATAAGTGCCAATATCGTCAAAACAGGTTTTTATCAATTTATATGCGAAGTACGAAAAAAATTAATATCAATTCAAGACCCACATTCTCATGTATAAGCAAGAATATATAATCTTACTTGAAGATAAAACTTGCTTGCATAAAGAAATTCTACATAATTCTACTAAAAATATTATGTTTTGTTATTCAAGAATAATTTTTACGAAGAAGAGAAAAATATTGGGTAGAAAAGAAACGATATCTTCAAACTGATGTGATTTTTAGTTTGAAGACATTGTTCTTTCTAGCCAATACTTTTTCTTCACTTATGAAAATTATTACTGAATGATTATCGAATATTATTGAAGAATATGATATTTTTTTGCGCAACTATATCGAATTTCTTTATGTAAACAAATTTTATCTTTATAAATTATATATTTTTACCTGTATATGAGAATAATGAGTCTTGAATCGACATTAATTTTTTTCGTTGCAAGCGCAAACTATTAAAAGCAGCAAAGTAGCGTCGAAATGTCGAATCCGGTTTAGACGGATATTCCGAGTGGAAATTGCTCGATTCGTCGATCCTCGATGTCACTCGCAGTCGTTCACTCCGTAAAACACTCGTGACACTTGTTTGATTAGCCATACGCAACATCTCGGGCCACTATTACCTGAACGGCAACTGGATGATTGACTTCCCGCGCAGTCTGCGCTTCTCCGGCACGACCTTCCACTACACCCGAGACCCGCAAGGTTTCGCGGCGCCCGACATCGTCACGGCCTTGGGACCGACGAACGAGTCGATTTACGTCGTGGTCGGTACATTGATCGATTCTCCTTCGTCGATGAGAGACGAGTCCGGGAGGATATTAACGTGTAGCTTTTCCCTTCGCAGCTGCTGTACCAAGATCGCAACGTGGGCGTGCATTACGAGTACAGCATACCGAAGAGATTCTCCTCGCGCACGGACCCCGACAGCTACACCTGGGTAACCGACGAATTCTCCACTTGCAGCGCCAGTTGCGGCGGAGGTATTACGGGATTATCACTTTAACGCGATTAGACCACCGGTGCTCGAGTCCGTCGTGTTTTCTCGCGACGGAGAACAACGTTTTACCTGTTGCGCGTAAACGTTCGGACGAAGAGCGGATGATTCGATCGAGGAAGTTCATTCGTCGCTTAAAATTTGACGTTTCAATCTCTGCGTCAGTGGAATACGAGAAAATCGTTTCAATAATTCTTACTGGCGAATTGTTTTCATTCCGTGGCGTTCGATTATTCATATACGGTGTTCAGATATTACTAATAATGAGATAATTACAATTTCTTTCTCTCTCTCTCTCTCTCTCCCTCTCTCTCTGAGAAAATCAAGTAACTTCATTCGCGTAATGAACGTACTCAGAACAAGATATTCTATGAATATTCTTACAAAATATGAGTGTTCTTAATTCCAGAATATTTGCGCGCAAATTCTGGATATTCTATAAAGCTTCCTTTAAGGATTTGTCTCCGACCGTGAATATCTCAGTTCACATCTTCCAGATGAGGAATGACCTGAAACTCGGAAGTCATATCAGATATTTCTCCGCACCGTGAAAGCGTAAAATATCGCACTAAGATCGTACTACGAACATGTAACAGTGCTTTTTCGAACATTCTATGAATGTGCGAGTCTTCGTAACAGATATTTATAGAATATTCCTGTGCTGTCTGGATATACGCGACGCGCAACTGATAATTACTATCGTCCGATTTCGAAGACAAATTTCGGGCAGAGCCGGATCATTTGTCGTCCGTGGAGAATCCATCTTGCCCGTCTGTCTTTCTCCAAGTGACAATTACGCGCGAATATTACTCACGAGGAAAGGTCCATTTCACACTTCATTTATCTCCGAAGGCTACCAATCGAGACGGGTGGCCTGCGTACGGAGGCGCGACAGTGAGCGGGTGGACGAGGGCCTGTGCGATTGGCAGCTGGAACCAGCTGACACGCAGAGCTGTAACGAAGAACCTTGCCCGCCGATGTGGATGGAAGGTCCATGGTCCCCTTGCAGCAAACAATGCGGTGAGGAGGGCGAGCAGAGTCGAGAGATCAAGTGCGAGCAGGTCATCGCGGGCGGGATAGCTTCTGTGGTGGATGATTCTCAATGCCTGGAGAAAGTAGGCCCGAAGGGACCTACCAGGCAGGAATGTAACAGAGACGTGGACTGCCCGCAGTGGCACGAGGGACCTTGGAAGCCCGTGAGTCACCTCGACGCATAATGACATTAACCGTTCTGTCAATGTATAATTTCCCTATATTTTTCCATCAAAACGGAGAAAAATTATTTACTTATTCTATAATAGGAAATCAAATATAAGTCCGTATTATGGGAACGGGTTAACGGGGAATAAATCTAAAATAAAATGTTACTCGGGAAATTAAAAATATCAGTTTTAGCTTATAAGGCTGATTCTTTGTGTACGATTGCCGATTAAAAGAAACGGACGTACGTTTAGTATACGTTTAAACATGTATCTCCCCGCGAATATATTAATATTAATATTCAAAACGGCGCTAGAACATCCGTGCTTAGTCTTTTATTTGCCCATAAATAATGTCTTTTTCTTTGGTAAAGTCACAAAAAAATTTGTCGTAGCGTAATCATCGCTACTGCATATTCGTTCTGCGATAGCAATAAAATTTAATCGGTGTAACCAAATTAGCGAATTACTCGTAATTAGAGCAGTTTTGTTTCCAGGATGAGGAATATCCTGTCGAATGAATTTGTCCTTAGGACACTTTAATTTGTTAAAATCTGCTATTAGAACAAAATAGTGTTTTTCCTACATTTACTCGTTCGTTTTAACAGCAAAATAATTTGTAGAGCAAAGTAATACAGCGAGTGGCAATTAGTATTCTTCAACAAATTACTCTGCTGTCCACATAGTAATTGACAGATTTTGCTGCGACAGCATAAAACCTGCTGTGTCAGTAAATCATTTTTCTCCGTGTACAAACCCGGTGTGTTTCCGTGACAGAAGGGTTAATTTCGTTTCATCGTTAAATTACGTTTCGCTATCACCGCTTTTCTCGTACACGCGCTATCGATCAATCAATCCGCTTACGTCTCGCGCGCAATTCCGAAAGCGATGGGAGTCATCGAGTTCGGTGCCTGCTATCGGTGTAATTCGCATGTTCTCAAATGCAAATTGCTGCTTACCTGGCCGTTGATGCGCGGTTATCACGAGGAGCGAAATATGCACATCGTGAGGAATCAATATTTCTCCTAGTGCGATCATATATGCGGGCCTGGTAAGCAAACCAGGACGGTCACGTGCTACAGAAAGGTGGACGGCAGGATCCAAGTGTTGGAAGATGAGGCGTGCGAAACGGAAGCGCCGGAACGTGAGAAGACTTGCGAGCTGAGGCCTTGCGCCGGCCTCGAGTGGGTCACCTCGGAATGGAGCGGAGTGAGTCCTCCGAACTTTCTATTGAATAAGAAGGGGGTGGGGGTGAGGGAGTAAACAAATAAATTATCGAATTTCCATTTCTCTCCGCGGACGCTTGAAAAACGAACGGACGGTAATTTGAGAATGCCTTCCTGATAGTGCGAGGAGAAGTGCGATCTCACGATGGAGACCAGAACCACCCAGTGCGCCACTCAAGAAGGCACAGTTTATCCGGACGACATGTGCGACGCGGGCAAGAAGCCCGAGCTGGAGAGGGAGTGCGAGAAAAGCGAGGACTGCGACTTCCAGTGGTTCAGTTCGCAATGGAGCAAGGCAAGCGAATAAATATTCCCACTTCCACTTCCTCCGAAGTGTATCTCTTTACTCGCGTCGTCCATAATATACGTTCCACTTGCTTCCCTTATCGTCACGATAACTCTGCTCCCCAGTGCTCGGCGAAATGCGGATCCGGCGTTCAGACCCGCAAAGTGTTCTGCGGCACCTTCACCGACGACACCGTGAAGAAGGTCTCGGACGAGAATTGCAATCCCGACGAGAAGTTCGAGAATACGAAGAATTGCACCGCCCAAGAGCCGTGCAAGGGCGAGTGGTTCGCAGGACCTTGGAGCAAGGTATGTTTTCACTCTGAAAAAAAAACCGTATTTCGAAAATGTTTACCCCTTCGACCGCGATCGATAGAGCAGTCGTTTCATTTACACGACGTTTCGCGATCTCATGATTTCTTGTAGTTTTTATACTCAACCATCGTTGCTTTCATCGCCGCACTTCCCGTTAAAGTTCGAAATTTAGTCCGCGTTACAGCTCGTTTATAATCGTCGGACTTATTAGTGAGCTGTAATCAACGGTGTCGTCAATCACAACGTGTTGCAGTGTTCGAAGCCATGTGACGGCGGCGACATGATGCGCAAGGTGATTTGCATGAAGGATAATAAGACGGTGCCTGTAAGCCAGTGCGACGCTGCCAGCATCATGTTCTCCACTGAGAAGTGTAACGATCAACCTTGCGAGAAAGGTAAAGATTTTGCGGATTTCAATTGCCACGAGCGCGACTGTTCACCCACGATTCTTAAAATAACGTTATCCCGACATAAAAATGCACGTTTGGTATTAACTTCGAAAAAGCTATTTGAGTGACATAAATTTCTCTATTTTAAAGATGAAATAGTAAAAGCTTCCGGATGCGCAGAAAAAAATGCTAGATTCAAGCAAATAATTATTTGAATACTCCTTAGCAAATATTTACTTGGATCAAGTAAATATTTTACTTGAGAAATATTAGGATCGAGTAAATCTTATTCGATCCCAATCAAAATTTGCTAAGGGGTATTGGAGAAATTATTTACTCGGACTTGGACTTACACGGTTAATTGAAAAATAAAAGATATCTCTGCGTTGATTTTACTTCACGAATGTAGAAAATCGTTCTCTTCTCGACGAGGTAAAAGCGAGACGCGGTATATTATATAAAAAATAAACTCCAATTATTTGTATTATATATTTCATCGTGATTACGAGCCTTTATTATCGGAGGTAATAATACGGAAATTAACATTTGCTTCATCATATAACACGTGATTTATACTCGCGAAGGCCTCCTCACTGTAAACATATCGCGGCCCTCGTGTATAAAATATTGGACATGCTTAGAACAGCGGGCGCGAAAATAATGAGGTTCGTGGCATTAAACGCAAATGTCTTAGCACCTGCCATTCTAAAGGGCGGCCACCCACCGTGAATATAACAGCACCTTCCCCTCCGTAGCGAGGAAAGTTACGGTTTCCGTCGCGCGCTATCCGACGCGCTAATTCTATTCCTCAACGAGGAATAAAACGCACGCGTGAGATCTCTCGATGTCGAAAGAGTGCTCTCACACACGGCAGGTCTCGCCGAGAGCTCGAGTCGGCGGATTATTTAGAGGTGCCGGGGTCCCGAGCGAAACGCCGTTCGAAAGATTTACGCGTATCCCGAAACGACTTCCGCGCCGTTTCCGAAATCACGCGTCCCCACGTGGCGGTGCGATTTACGTAAACTCGTCGTTTCTCGCTGTATCTTCAGGCGTGACGCCGAGCGACGAATGGGAGGACGAAAAAACAACGGATTCGAAGGAGGTGGAGGAGGCAGAGGAGGAGTGCGAGGACGAGGAGGAGGAGGAGGAGTGGGACAGGGAGGAGGTGGAAGGTGTCCCCGGAATCAGCTTACCCGCGGGGGTGAGTGAAACTGAGCCGTGTCGCGCGTAATCGAGTATCAGACGCGACTGAGTTACTTCGTAACTTCGTTTCTTACCGGTCCGCTGTTTCAAAGAGCCGCGTCGGACTCGATCCGGTCGCGCGCGCGGTCCGGTAATGCGATTCTCCTTCGATTTCGCTCGTCTCACTGCGGGGATCGAAGGGATTCACACGCGCTGTCGAGAGCGTCGCACAGTTCCCCCCTTTTTCTTCTTCGTTTCAGGGAGCAACGATAGACCGACTGGTCGCGCAAACGGAAGCGACACCCTTGAGCTCGCCGTTCACCGGTAGCGACGCCTACGACACTATGTTCAGCGACTCCACCAGGGGTGACATATCGCCCTCCGAGCTGGGTAGCGGCGAGGGCAGCGGCGACGATGAGTTCACTCTGTTCGACACTACCTTCTTCGTCGACAGCAGCGTACTGACCACCGTCGAGAAGAGCGACTCTCCGGTCAGCGGTGCTACGACCGAGGGCAAAACTGGCACAACGGAGTTCGGCACGGACGTGACCGAGTCGTCGGACATCACCGAGGAAACCGACGCTACGGTCGAGGGATCCGGCGCGACCATCGAGGAGGAGACCGGCGCCAGCGCGTCCACGGACGCGTTCACGGAAGGAAGCACGGTGGAAGGGAGTCAGGCCGCGACTACGGAATCCGGCAGTAAGTAAATAAATCAAATAAATAATTTCGAATCGGCGCGATTATCTAAGTCTTTAATCGTACGTCGTTCGTGAAACTAACGTGACGGCACGCATTTATTAATTGTTAATTTAGGCACTGAATCGGGAATGACGGAAATGTCGACGGATGCTTCCGCCACCACTGAAAGCGGCGGAACGACCGGCAGCGGCGAATCGACGGTTAGTGAGAGTTCGGAGCTGATAACGACCGAATCCAGCGATATGACGACTGTATCCAGCGTAGCGACGTCCAGCGACATGACGACCGGCTCCAGCGACATGACGACCGGCTCCAGCGACATGACGACCGGCTCCAGTGACGTGACGACCGGCTCCAGCGACATAACGACCGGCTCCAGCGACGGGACGACCGGCTCCAGCGACGGGACGACCGGCTCCAGCGACGTGACGACCGGCTCCAGCGACGTGACGACCGGCTCCAGCGACGGGACGACCGGCTCCAGTGATGTGACGACTGATGCGACCGAGTTGACTGATACTACCGGTTCTGCGGAAACCACGATCTCTTCCATGACTGCGTCGACGGAGTCCACCGAGACACACGTCACAGATATCACCGATATTGAGACGACCGACTCGACGGAGACGCAAACAACACCAACTACCGAACCCACGGACACTACGGAGTCCACAGATACTACCGAGTCCACGGAGTCTGCGCCGACTACGTCTTCTTCGGAGACGGAGACCACGGTCACAGAAGAAACGCGAACGACCGGAAGCGACGAGGCCACGGATTCCAGTACTGTGTCCGGTAAGTAGTAAAGTACAAAATTGATTTTTGTAACGTCATATAATTTAACGGTAATATTTTATATAACTTGTTTAAAAAATAACGTTTGTATCTTATTATTTTGTTTTGCTAATTTAAACATAACATCCTATTTCTTTAAATTTACTTTACTTACGCGTTTTCATTCATCGTTACTCAGCGTACGAATTACACGAGATTCATTCAGTTGTCAGCGTAAAATTAAAGAGTGTCAGGCATCGATGGGTCAAGAAAGAGTGCAAAATACGATACATGTGATTATACTCCGCAGAGACAACGTCTGAAGTGACCCCGACTATAACGACCTCTCAACTGACGACTAAGTCAGAAGATAAAAGCGATTCCGAGATGGAAGTGGAAGGCAGCGACGTGACCAAGTCTCCGATCACCGGAGAAACAGATCTCACGACGGAAGAGACTACCGTTTCCGGGACGAGCCCGTCAGGTGCATCTGAAACTACCGGCAGCGGCGAGACTACCGAGTCGGGACAGACTACGGAATCGGGAGAGACAACTGAATCGGGAATGAGCACAGAATCGTCGGCTGGGACTACATCAGGTATGAGCACGGGATCGGCTGAGACAACGGAGTCCGAACTGACGACCGAGTCCTTGGAAACCACAATGTCAAGTGAGACCAGCGAATCAGGGGAGACGACGGAATCGGGTGCGACTACGGAGTCCGGAGCGACTACGGAGTCGGGAGCGACTACGGAGTCGGGAACGACTACGGAGTCGGAAGCGACTACGGAGTCGGAAGCGACTACGGAGTCGGAAGCGACTACGGAGTCGGAAGCGACTACGGAGTCGGGAGCGACCACGGAATCGGGAGCGACTACGGAGTCGGTCGAGACTACCGAGTCCGGCGAAACTACCGTGACAGCCTCCACAGAAATGACCGAAAGTACCGAGTTGGGCATGACGACGGAATCGGGCGAGACGACCGAATCGTCCATCACGTCCTCCGGGGAGACGACGGTGTCCGGTGAGACGAAAGTCACGTCCTCCACGACCAGCGAAGACACCGGCCTCACCGAGAAGACACCGAGTAAGTCCATTAGACAACGAAGTGAATGTTTCTCCCTCTCTCTCTCTCTCTCTCTCTTCCTCGATGCGTTAATACCGATGTAATTACAGTCACGGAGTTCTGGACGACCGCATTCCCGGAAGCGACGACGCGCAAGCGACAGTGCAAGCCGAGGAAGAGCTGCAAGAAGACGCCGTTCGGCTGTTGCTACGATGGCATCACCGCGGCTCAGGGACCCTTCGGTCAAGGTTGCCCGACGCCGCAGACGTGTAACGAGACGCGATACGGCTGCTGCCCTGACGGCGTGTCGCCAGCCACTGGCTCGAAGAACAAGGGCTGCCCGGATTCTCGTTGTAACGAATCGCTCTTCGGTTGCTGCCCAGACGGCGTCACCACGGCGGAAGGCAATGATTACGAGGGCTGCAAGAAGCCGTGCGAAGATACAGAGTTAGTTTCATGTCTTCTACCATATAATTTAATTATCTTGCGTCATCCCACCGCTTCATTTCTATGCATGTCATTTGTGACGCGACTTTCCCGCATTTTTCTTCGATGCCTTCAGCTAAAATCTGAAATTAACAGATAATATATTTTCCAGATTTAGTGGTAACGTTATTTTGCGAGACCTCATGCGAACGTTGCTTCTTCGCAACAGGTGGCACTTATAAATTGATCGATTGATCAATTTTCAGGTTCGGATGTTGCCCAGACATGGAGACGCCAGCTATCGGGAAAGACAATATGGGATGTTGCAAAGTTACCGAGTTCGGTTGCTGTCCTGACGGAATTAAAGCTGCTTCTGGTCCCGATGACGAAGGTACTTAGTGCTCTTTCAATGAAGTATACTTATCGTGTTTTTCCGCGGTTCTTGAGAAAAAGAAACCGAGTAACGGCCTTCGTTCCGTTAAGGTTGCGAAGAAGAAGTCACTTCTATGACGTCTCCGACCGAGATTTACGAGACAACCACGCAACTCGTGCCGTACGAGGACTGCGCGAACACTACCTACGGCTGCTGCCCCGATGGCGTCACCACCGCGAATGGCACCAACTTCGCGGGATGTGGCGTCATTAATACCGACAACTGCACCGCGTCCTACTTCGGATGCTGCTCCGATGGAGTCTCCGCAGGTATAAGTCGCAGATATCAGTTGTGTGATAAGCAAAATCGCAAAAACGCCGCGAAAGATCGCTCGTCGAAACGATCCAGTCGTGAAAGTCTCCATCCTCCCCCTCAAAAAAACAACACTCGTAACATTATAAAATGCCAACATCTCGAAACGTTAATTTTTCACGATAAATCATTTAGATACAAATATCAATACAGGGTAAAGCATTAATTATTACCATCTTGAATATCTTCGGAGGATGAGAGTAGAAGAACCATTTACCTAACCGAAATTTTATCGGTGGCATCACTTCTCTCGAACACCTTCTAAATAATAGAACAGCTTTTGAATAAATGTTAAGCTTCATCCAGTCGTGAATCAGATATTTTTCTACTCCGAAGATATTCAAGATACTAATAGTTATTGCCCCGTCCTGAATATTCGAGCGAAAGTCGAAGTGAGCGCGGACCTCCTGAGTAGCGTCGTCGTTCGATATCGATTCCCTTTATCAGCCGATCTCACGGAAGCCGATCTCACGTCATCGGCCGTCCGAGTCGGCGATGATCAAAGGAGCGGGCCGACTCTTCCGAGCACATTGTGCGCGTCTCGCTTTCATCGTCCGCGCGATTATCTCCCTTAGCCCTCGGACCAGACAATTACGGCTGTCGTATGCCGTGCGAGGACACCGCTTACGGATGCTGCGAGGACGGCGTTACGCCAGCTCACGGGCCGAACAATGAGGGCTGCTGCTTATCGAGCCCGTATAAGTGCTGTCCGGATAACATGATGCCGGCGCGCGGACCAAACTTCCACGGCTGCGCCTGCCAATACACAAGATTCGGCTGCTGCCCGGATAATTCGACGGCGGCGCGCGGACCGGGCAACGAAGGCTGCGGCTGTCAATACACGCCTCACGGTTGCTGCCCGAACCGGTTCACCCCCGCCAGCGGACCCAACTTCGAGGGATGTCCGTGTTACACTTATCAGTTCGGATGCTGTCCCGACGGGATCACCATTGCCAAGGGCGCGCACGGTCAAGGTAACCGATTAGGAGCGATCACGCATCGATCGTAGCTCGTTGGCAAAATTTATTTCTGAGTATTTATTTCACGAGTAATGTGAATTTTAATTGTGAAATTATTTCTTTCCTAAAATTCGAGAGCTTCGTTTTCCCCGAAAAGGCGCGGGAGCGGCTCACTTTTCTCGCTTTACCTCACTTATTTCCAAACATCTCACTTTTACCCACTTTTGGGAGAAAGATCACTTTCTCCCTTCATTTTTTCGACTTGAGTCTTTTAGAAAAAGACTCGATCACAAGAAATCATGTTTGATTGTCTGACTTAACAATCGCTGCAGAAAGCGAGTGATACGCTGCGACGCGATATTGTCGCGTGATTGTCGCAGGATGCGGATGCGAGAATACGGAATTCAATTGCTGTTCGGATGAGAGGACCCCGGCCAAGGGCCCGAACTTCGCCGGCTGCACGTGCGACACGTCCCAATTCGGATGCTGCCCAGACGGGGTCGAGGAAGCGCAAGGAGAGAACTTCGAGGGTTGCCTCACGGTGCCTACCATGCCCGGTGCTTCATGTGGGCTGCCGAAAGACAGGGGTTCCTGCCGCGACTTCACGGTCAAATGGTACTACGACACCGACTACGGCGGTTGTTCGAGATTCTGGTACGGAGGCTGCAAGGGTAACGAGAACCGTTTCAAAACGCAAGAGGAGTGCAAGGACGTTTGCGTTCAGCCGAAAGGAAAAGGTAACTTTTCCAAGGTTACTCTCATCGCAAATGCAAGAAGGAAAAATAGATTCTCTTTATGAGATTATTGCATGAAATTGCATAGTAAAAAATTGTGTACTACTTTAACGTGGGAAATCAAATATATTTGTGTACTTTTTAACACGTTCCCGGTGTTAAAGTAATATGAAATCTTAGTGGGACGTTTTTAACATAAAAGTTTTTACTGCGTGGGGATTGTGCATATTTCTCTCATTAAATCAGCGAATCCTTTGATTCTCACTTCGCAGCTGCTTGTTTCTTGCCGAAGATCGCCGGTCCTTGTCAAGGATACCATCCGACGTGGTACTTCGACGCCGAAAGGAAACAGTGCGGTCAATTTGTTTATGGCGGTTGCCTCGGGAATGCTAATAAGTTCAAAACTAAGGAAGAGTGCGAGGAACTTTGCGTCACGCCTGATGGCATAGGTAAAGAATCACTCTCGATAACTCGGACAATAATTAATACTCATGCATGCAAGAAAATATCTGAATTTTATATAGTTGAAGTTTTGAAGTGATCTTTGAGCGAAAATTAAAAAAATCTTTTTGAAGTTTAACATCAATAAGAAAACTGAGATAGGCAAAAAACTAGAATTGTGCAAAATGTGTCAGTATTAACATAAATAAGCAAGAAGAGCGGAAAAAATGGCGCGCGCGCGAACATTCGCACAAGTCAAAATTCCTGCCGAGAGCCCCGGTGACTTGTGCAGACTGTTTTACATCTCGTGCGACGATACGCGTTAGGAAAAAAATTGTTTGTTGAAAACGAGTGCACGGAAGATCTTCGTAATCGACGAAGTTCAACCGTGCGTACGCAATTACAAAGATATAAAATTCTGCAGACGAGTATTCTGTGCAAATAAAGGGTGGTACTTTTATACTTTACCGAATGCCCTAAATTAGAAAAATGATAGTTGATTAATCATTAGAGCCCGGAAGTCCATCGTATGTAAGAGAAGTGACGTTTAAAAATATCTGATAAATATCGAAGATAATTGAATAGTTTTTTTTCTTCATGGCTATATTTAACATTCAGTAAATTATTATTAATAATATTTAACGACGTTTACGCAGACTTTCCATTGAGAAATAAAGAGGAAAGTATGTTGAATTACTTAAAATAATATTGCATTGAACGACAAGCCGGGTGACCTTTTATTTGCAGCTAGCACGACTAAACGACGTATTAAAAGTTGGTCCTTTGAAATTAATCGTTTAAACTTCGTCTAGACCCATGCGAGCTGCCGAAAGAAACCGGTCCGTGCGCTGGCAATTTCACCAGGTGGTACTTCAACGCGGAGTCGCAGGATTGCGAGCAGTTCGTATACGGTGGTTGCAAAGCTAACGGCAACAACTTCCCTACGGAAATTGCTTGTCACCAGCAGTGCTTGCAACCGGGTCGAAGGAGAGGTACGTTTTCTTTTCATTACTCTTTCCTCTTTTTACATGCAATTTAAGAGATTTTCTGTATTTTATTTTCGTAAATTATTGAGACTATTTGCACGGCGATAGTAGTCACTGCATTAACTACAGTCTGGGGATTAATTAAATTTGATAATAGCAGTATTTACGATTGTACGGCTGGTTGGCGGTGATGTCTGTCAACTTTATACTTTTAGCAATAACGACTAACTTTATCGAAGACCGATCGAACACGACCGATAACGTCTAATCAATAACGTAACATATTAACACATTCGCAACTAGAAAAGTACCTAATTAATCTCCGCGTTTTGGATAATATTCGACAGAATTCCATTACGCAATTGATCGAGTTGACCGAAGTGAAGCGATTAAAAATTTGCAGAGCATGGAATTTCATACAACTGGTAAATTTAGGATTAAAATTAGAGAAGTGTAGAGAGGTGGAGAAATTGATTAAAAGCATGCGAGGATATTTGCTAATTCATTTCGCGTTTTGGCTAAGAATATACTCGTCGCAGTCGCCGTGCGCACATTTTCACGGGACAAACGATCGGCGGCGAGCGTGTCTCGAGTAATTTGAAACTCCCTCTTGCCGGCGTTATATTAGTTCTAAACACTTCGCTAACGTGGTTCGAGTCGACCGCACAGTGATGAACGAACTTTTGCAGTAAAACTGCCCGACGTGTGCGCCATGAGGAGAGATCCCGGGCCGTGTCCGGGTTCGGCGTTGCGCTGGTATTACGACGCCGAGCGCGGCATTTGTAGGCAATTTGTTTACGGCGGTTGCAAAGGCAATCCCAATAAATTCCGTACATTCGCTGCCTGCCAGCAGCGTTGCCCCTCGCAAGGTACAAAAAACCGTAAAGAGAAGGAGAGCTTGATCGCTTCGATCGGATTAACATCATTACGCGCGCAAAGGAAACTCTCTCGAATCTCGACGTCATCCGACTCGATTTCGAGAGAGCGTTTTCTTTCGCGTTCTACACGCGCACATCGTTGTTGGTGGTGACGGAGGAGAGCACACTCGCGATGCAACGTGTATGGGCGGCAACGTCAGACGCAAAATTGTCACGCATCACAATCGTGCGTCGTTTCACGCGCACTTCCGCGCTTCACAGGCACGCTTTTCGTTCGCAAGATTCGCTGGCACGCGGTATCGGGAATTCGTCTTCACGCATTCCGCGCGAATCTCATCCGATTTCTTTGTATCGTGTTACGTTTTATCACGTCCGGTAAAACGTAAAGTGTTAAACCTCCTGCCGAATCTGATTTTAGATTCGGTTGGGAAGGATAATATTCAGACGTTAACGTTGCCAAAAGATTGGCAAACCTGTTCAGGAATTGTATTTCATCTCACAACTCAAATGCCTTGTAATATTAACGTACATATATGGTCAGTCGCAAAAAAGTTGCAACATTTTTTTTTAAGTCTCGGAACGCATCCCGTGTTCAATAGGAGCCTGTATAGTACGAATGTTCAAAAGACATCTCAGAGACGTCCCGGAAACGTTCGAATATCTCTGGGACGTCTCTAGAATGTCTTGAGCATATTTGCGCTATACGGGAGAATTTGTTTGTTGGTAATTCTCAGGAGATTTTCGTGGGTGTCGAAGGAAAATATTAATCTGTGGAATTAGAGTTATATATTTTACGGAGTAATATATTTTAAATAATAACGAGATGAGTTGCAAAACTTATCGGAGAAAAGTGCTGCGACCTTTTGTGAGTGACAATGGTGGCGGGATAAAAACTATTAAACTCAAGTTTTCCCAAGTGATACTAATCGCTTTGAGATCGAACGAGCACCGTTCGGGCTAACGGCAAGAAGTGAGGTTTTAAATTTGCGACAATTAATATCGAAGTAGCCGGGACCCCGTGGGATCGGTTAATGTCAGATATCTAACTCTGCATGTTACAATTAATGCGATTAACAGATACTTGCACGTTGCCGCGGACGGAGGGTACATGCACGGAGAAGCAATCTCGATGGTACTTTGACCAGTCGGAGAATCGCTGTATGCCATTCTATTACACCGGCTGTGGTAGCAATGAAAATAACTTTGAATCTAGAGAAGCATGCGAGTCCGATTGCCCGGCTAAGATCGGTAAGACACGACTCCCTACGCTTCTTTCTTCACCACTTCTCAGGCCCTCTGTTATCTTTAATTAACGTCCTACGCTTTTCTCGTCGAGCATGACGCATTAATAACGTAAGCATTTCGACGCGAAATCGCAATGCGTCTGAAGAATGTTTTATTAGAAAGAATTGCACACACGTTTGACACCATATCGCACTTAACATTACCTTACATAATTAACACAATTAACTTTACACGACCTCTATACGCGATTTCCTTCTGTAACAATAACGTGCATCAAAATTGTTTACGTTACAAAATTTATGTTTGCAATGAACTTTCAAAATTTCGATATTTTTCTCAAGTTTAAAGGATTCGTTCTCATATTTTTCTTCTAATTACTTGGATATTAATTAAGATAAATAATATTGATCACTTCGAGGCATCGGTAACAAGGGACGGAGAAGTTTGAATTAATTGTCTTCAGATTTCCGCGATATCTATTTCGCACGAAGTGAAATCGATCGGCGGACGAAATCCTTTGACGAAGTATATAACACCGCCAGGAATATAATCTCGAACTTTGCGCGCACGCAGAGCAAGACACCTGTCTTCTGCCTGCTCTCCCGGGCGAATGTCACAATTACACTCACCGATGGTACTACGACTCGTACGAGCAGCAATGCCGGCTCTTCTACTACGGTGGATGCGGCGGGAATGAGAACAACTTCGAGACCGAGCACGACTGCGTCAACAGGTGCGTGACGGTCGTCACTACGCCCACTCCGCCGGGAAAACAAGCCGAGTTCCGAAGAGGTAACGCTCCCGATAACTCCGGAAATTGTCAGCACGGGCGAGCGATACTACTCAGAGACATTGTCATCTTTCCTCACAGAATTCTGCTTCCTGCGCGACGAGCACGGCCCGTGCACCGAGGATCAAGTTAAATGGTTCTACGACAGCAGCGTCGGCGTTTGCAGGCAGTTCCTGTACGGCGGCTGTCAGAGTAACGGCAACAACTTCAACAGTCACGAGGAGTGCGAGTACCGCTGCGGGGAAGTTCAAGGTACGCTGTACGGAAATCCGTCGCACGAAGGCCGCGGAAAATTTAACGCGTAACGTAATCGTCGTGAGAATTTTATCGACTACCCCTTGGTAGAAATTCAATCCCGTAGATATTCAGTCACGAGGCAATAAATATGTGTCTAACGTCGCTACTAGCCGATAATGTAACTCTCCTAATGACTAGATAAACAAGTTGGCTTGATGGCTAAATAAAAGAAACTTCATTTACGAGATGAAAAATCAGAACAGTTGGCGGACGGTGATGTAACGCTCTTAACTTCTGCTTTCTTAAGATTATTATGGAATAACGTACGTTCAATTTTAATTTGTTATCTCGTCTTTTAACGCTAGGCGGCACATAGTAGCCAGATTATATATTTTAGAGTAGACAACGCCCATTGCTCTGTTACATTTGATATATAACGGCTAAACAAAGGCTAGAACACAAAACCGATCCTTACATTTTAGTAAATAATCAGCTAATACGGAACTAATAATAACGAACTAGTAATAAACTAAAAACAAACTAAAAAGTTTAATCTAGCCTATGTTAGCTAGTTTACCAGCTTTTCACCCAGACCGACTGGTTACATTTTTAGTCAGGTAAATATAATTAAATTAATATATAAATGTAACAAGAATTTTATCATTACTTTTTTCACGACTACCGAAATAAATCCGACGGTGTATGCGGTATATAGAATAAAATATATATGCTTAATAGTGATAAGAAAAACAGATATTGAGTATTAATTGGAGAAACCTTCGGAAATTTCAGATCTCTGCTCGCTACCCAAGGTGATCGGACCTTGCGACGGCTACGTGAAGCAATTCTACTACGACCGACGCACAGATTCCTGCTACGAGTTCGAGTACGGCGGCTGTCAAGGCAACAAGAATCGCTTCCAGGATAGAGAATCCTGCGAGATCAAGTGTAGACGGCAGGAGCCTCCTGCGCCATCGACGACCGCTCAAATCGTGACTACACCGACTCCGTCAGTCGAAGAGCCGAAGAGCCCGATTTGCCTGGCACCGGCCGATCCTGGCAACTGCGACGGCACCATCACCTCGTATTACTACGATGCGCAACAGCGTATGTGCCAGGCGTTCATATACGGCGGCTGTGGCGGAAACGCCAATAAATTCCAGACGGAGGAGCAATGCGAGCGACTCTGCGGGAAATTCCACGGACAGGGTAAATCGTGATGTGTTCTGGAAAAAATGTGTCTGAAATGCTTCTAATCAGCAAACCTCATCACGCCATTTCATCCGTAACGGAACGTTTACAATCCGCAGGAAAAGAATATCACAACTCGTATTTGCATGCAAAACAAAACAAAATATATCATTTTAACGAAAATAAACGAAAATATATAATTTTATACGAAGATAAACTAATAGGAAACGCACCTATCTAACACATCAAACCGACGTGTCTTCGTTTCAGACGTCTGCAATCTCCCCATGGACTTCGGCCCGTGCAGAGGCGCTTTCCGCAAGTATTACTACGAGTCAAGCACGCGTACTTGCCGCGAATTCACTTACGGCGGCTGCGACGGCAATGCGAACCGATTCAGCACGATTCCCGAGTGTGAGTCCATTTGCATACATCACGAGGAGCCGGTGCCACCCGGCAACGACACCAGCGTTTCGAATCTGTGTAAGTACCTTCGTCTCATTTCTCTCACTATCTCGCTTCGAAAGTAACGATCCCTTTGAATCACACCGATCATCGCAATCGATTCTCGTCGGGTCTACCGCGCGAGATCGAACGGGCTTTGGAGTAACGAGCTTTGTGGTGATGATGCAGCGATCTGTAGAGAACCAGTCGACAGCGGATCCTGCACGTCCGGCGGCACCAAGCGGTTTTATTTCGACGAGGAACACCAAGTGTGCCGGGCGTTCATTTACACCGGCTGCGGTGGCAATCGCAACAATTTCAAGACCTTCGAGTCTTGCATTATCACTTGTCTTAGGAGTAAGTCCAGGATATGAGACCGTTAGCGAACTTTTCGTTTGTTCTCTAATGTCCTCGCAGAGCTCACCTTTTGGCTTTACACGGCAGTCGTCTCCTTTGTATATACGTACAGTCTGACTTTTTATGTTTCTTACGTTCTTCTGCTTCACTCTTTCGGTTTCCCACAACCATCTATCCCTCTATCTTGTATTCTATTTAAATCTGCTATATTTATAAAGGAAACATACGCCTATATGCTTCGTCGAGTCAATCAAATGTATTGTTTGAAAGAATTCAACAGACGGATATATTTTATAATTAATGATTATGTGCGTTATAATAATTAATCATATAAAAATCATATATTATTAGTAATTATATATGATTATTTATGATTAGTTATTATTTTAATCAAATAAAGTCTGCCTGAAACTGGGACGTGAAAGTAACAAGGAAGATCGTGAACTTAATTCCTACGGAATACGATTTGCTATAATAATTCGTGACAGCTTTTCAGCAGCTTCTATGTGGCCGACATTCCATATAAGCCGAAACGTACGAAGTCTCCCCTATGATGTACAAATGTCCTCAAATGTTGCATTGCTTCCATTTCTTTCTTCGATGTGATCGCCTAATATGCCGTCGTACATGAATTTTGTACAGCGATATTAGCGTCGACAGCTTTCTTTGGTTTACGTCAAATTTCTTCTCTCTATCGGAGAAGAATTAGATTTCTTCATTTCTCGTATAATACGTAGCTGTATTGCAGCGAGTAACGAGATAGACGTGGACTCGAAGGACACGAAGGATCGATGCGCCGAGGCTAAGGAGGAATGCAACATCGTCCATTGTCCGTACGGCAAGGAGCAGTATGTGGACGAGCAGGATTGCGAACGCTGTCGTTGCGTGGATCCTTGCAGAACGAAGATCTGTCCCGAGGGTACTCGATGCACCATTACATTGGTCGCTTCGCAAGACGGCACTGAGTACAGAGGCGTTTGTCAATCGAGTGAGTCTCTCATCAACGACACGAAATAAATCGCAACTCGATTATCTTGACATTTTTATTTCAAGGATTGTTTCTTCGTGAACTTCTGGCGAGAAATGTGTGTGGTAGTAAAAACAGTAACATCTACATGTTTTTAGGAAAGTTTTTGTCCTAAAAATTATTTATATGAAAGTGACACTTAAAAAATATCATATATGTAAACATTTTTAAGCTCTTTCTTTTTTGAAAGAATTATATTACCGTGATAATACTTGTTATCCTTATTGTCCTAACGTTATTCATCGATCGAGAGATAAGCCGAGGACTGAAATTGACCTTGCAGTCGTCAAACCGGGTCACTGCCCAAGAGTGTCCAACAGCACGAGATGCGAGCAGGAGTGCGCCACAGACGCGGATTGCGTCGGAGAATTGAAATGCTGCGACAGCGGTTGCGGTACATCCTGCCTGGAGCCAGCGCCGGAGGAGCCTCTGAAAACAACGGCAGGACCAACCGTCACTCCGCCGCAATACGGAGGCTCGCCTGCGATGATCCAGCAGCCCGAGGAGCCTCGTGTCAGCGCGCAAGAGGGCGGCTACGTCACGTTGAAATGCATCGCGTTAGGAATCCCCAAACCGACCATCACATGGAGGAAGGATACCACGCTGGTGGGTTACCTTATATCTCAACATTTCTTAACCCGGATAAGTAAACTTTTCGATTTCTCTATCATTTTTAACTTTCCTCTATTCTGATTTTTCTATCAATGAAACACTTTTCATGAAAGAAAGAAAGAAAAAGAATTCAAATATTATACGACTGATGATTCTTCAGGTCGGACCCTCCGAGGCGAGACGGCGCATATTACACGACGGATCCCTTCAGATCACTAATTTGTACACCTACGACAGAGGCACTTACGTGTGCACCGCTGATAACGGTTTAGGACCGCCGGTAAGAGCGGAGTATCAATTGAACGTCACAGGTACGTGAAGATTCTACTTGTCTCGCATGATTCTCCCACCGTAACTCCGGATAGAGCGCAGCGTTAACAAGTGGTTTGGGGTGACTGTTAAACGTGATGTGGAATTACTACTAATTTTATTGCGAATGTAAACCCTCCCCCCCCCCCCCNTATTGCGAATGTAAACCCCCCCCCCCCCCCCGTTCACTGGTTTATATGCAATGTAATTAAGTAACGTAGATAGATCTCCTTTTCACTTAACATTAATCCGTTCTTGAAGCACTGATACCGTACATACCGTTGCAGATTTGTCTCATAGTGAAGTGCATTGTCACGAACTTGCCACGAATTTGAAGTGAGTTCAGCGGTATCCCGCGGTGACGAGTGAAACAGAGGCGGAGAATAAAATTTGCAGATATAACGACAGAAAAGAAAATTTTTTCAAAACTGGTTGCTTTAACTTTCCGTGAATACACTAAGAAAAAAGGCGGTTGGATCTACAAAATCGACGGGACAGTCTCGTTCAGAAAAATGTTAAACCACTGAACGAATTACGCGTTGGCGCAATATTTTGCGTTGATAAAGTTGCCGACCAAATCGCAATCGTTGAATCAACTGATAACTCGTTGCAGGAATTACGTAATTTGTTCAGTGAACTAAACGTGGCGCTCGAAAAAAAATGTGTTTATTTAAACCAAATTTCGTTGATTCAGCTACTTTTTTTCTCAGTGTATAAATAATGTATAAATAACAGCTGTTATTTCTTACAATTTCTTACAATCGATGTTTAATATCTATTAATTCAAGCTTCGGATCTTTGAAGTAACGTAGCTTTCTATACTTCGCCTCCGTTTAACGTCGACAGTAATCATTTTGCCCGGTGACCGTACAATTAACATGTCTGCCTCGCCTCCATCTCTAAGCACGTCGCGCACGCTCTTCTTCTTGCATCCTTTAGAACCGCGACAACTCGCTGTCTCCATCATCGGTGAGCCCGACACCCGCATAACGGTGGTGATGAACTCGCCGATAGCTCTGCACTGTTACGCTGTGGGTTGGCCGAGGCCGCACGTCACTTGGTGGCGCGGCGACAACATGTTACCTCTGTTTTCGGATAATTACGAACAGGACAGCGACTATAGCCTCCTGATACGCTCGGTAACCATCACCAGCCTTGGTGTTTACACCTGCCAAGCGTATAACGCCATGGACAAAGCGGCTTCTTGGTCAGTGACCTTGCAAGCGGTCGGACCGGTCTACAACGTTAAACCCGAACACCAAGAGTACACCAAGTATCTCGTTCAACCTCCGAGGAAACCCACTACCACCGAGAAACCGCAGTACCCGTACAGACCCACCAGAACACCGTCTCCTGAGTATCAGACCTTCGCCCCTATTTACCCTTCTAGGTCGACTCACGCCCCTCCTTTCCTCCCGACTACTACCGTCGAACCTGCCAGGTTCAAAGGTGAGACGATGACTGACGCGTCTTCGAGCAGGTTGCGCCGATTATTGCGAGTTCGAGCGAGTTTGTTGCGTGGTATCGATATTTCGCGAAATTCTTTGGTGGTTTCCGTCAAAATTCATATTCGGACGATTTTTCATTTGCGATTCGTAAATTTCTCGACTCGTTAATTCGTTACATTCCTCGATGCAGCGATCGACCGCAATGACGGCGCAACTGAGATCTTTTGAGTCCTCCTTTCATTCTGCATGAATGTCTAATAATCGAACATTGCATCATATTGTCGCTTGGGGCTGTGTTACACGCTTATTGGCTGTTCCAAGTATATGCTAAGAATTTAACACACGATCAATGACGTTCCTCGTTGAAAAAGATAAATGAAGAACTTGGTAAGTATACCAGAACTTTTATATTCTCTAGCTTTAGACTTATTTTTTATTCTTTTTGAATCATTTTTTGCAATCTGCCGAATGAAATTATCATATATGAATGTTAATAGATTTGATTTATATGCAGTGCCGGTCAAAGTCAACGTAACGGTGGAACAGTTACAATTCCCTGAGGGTAGCGAAATAAGCATCGGCTGCGCCGTGGATGGCTACCCTATTCCACGTGTACTCTGGTACAAGAACGACGAACTTATTCAAACGGACAATCGCGTAAAGATTTCTGGTAAGATCATATACGACGCTATGCTTGCAACCGAATAAAATGAAATGCGTGCGATACAATATGTTATATTGATTCTCACATTAAGCCGGCTCCACACAATGTGGCAAATATAGACGAACGTTGGCAATTATATTGACTACGTATGTTATATTATATATATATTATGTTATGTTATATCACGTGTTATATTCGCCCAACATACGTGATTAATGTAATTGCCGACGTTCGTCTACATTTGCCATATTGTGTGGGACCGACTTTAGGTATATATTTTTACAATATACATTTACACAATTTTATATTTGTAGTTATATTTCTACAGAGTTATATGTTTACGGAACATACGAAATCTCTCTCTCTCTCTCTCTCTCTCTCTCTCAAGAATTATGAGATAAAATTTACGAGAAATACTCGTAATCGTTACTTTCAGAACTCAATCGGCTCATCATCAACAACGCGAATCGCGAGGACTCCGGCCGGTATCGATGCGAAGCAGCCAACGAGTACACTTCGGACTCCGACAACGTCGATATACGCGTAGCCGGTGAGCGATTGTCCGAACACGTTCTTTTAGAAATGATTTAAGGTCGTTTCTATTCAGTGATAATGATAACTATTTTAAATAGCTGCAGAGATTGCGCAAAGAAGCACAATTGTTTTTTTTTTTTTTTAATTAAAGACTGGAATGAAATAATTCCATTTTTTAAAATTATATTTGAGATAATCTAGATTTTGCCGTGTATACTACCGCCCACGCACGAAGTTTCGATATCCATCGTCCCTGTTCCAGGTATCTTCATTCATCCCCATTGTCAGGACAACACGTTCTTCGCGAAGTGCGAGCTCATCGTGGCGGCCAAGTATTGCATGCACAAGTACTACGCGAGATTCTGCTGCCGATCGTGCACGGAGGCCGGCCAGTTGCCGGTGAGGGGACCCCACCTCGACAACGCGAAGAGAAGAAGAAGATCCATCTTGCGTATGCTCGTCTAAGATGCCAAATCGACTCTTCGGTATTTCCGACGCGCGTGATGGCACATGTCGATTCTGATCGTGGCATTCGTGGGATTCGCGACAGAGCCACAACACGCACACGCACATACACATACACGAGGGAGGAGAGAAATCATACGCGCACCCACCCTGCCTCTCGGACGTGCCGAATAATCGACTTGTTAACTCACTGCCAAAGCCTTAGAGCGTTTATACATAGATATAATATATAAACACACACAAAATACATGTACTTTCTCTCACACACACACACACATACACACACACGCACACACACACATACATCTAACGTAAAAGCGACATCGTGCTTCGGTCAGCACGGTCTCGCTTCGACGTCTCTATCCATGTATATACGATCTGACGCTGAGAATCCTAGTCCGACGGAGCCATATTAGGCGGGTTAATTACTTGTTCTTAAGAGGGAAACGTCGCGACCGCGCGTATCAGTCGGACGACATCGGGCGACACCGAGGTTGTCACGTCAGAATGTCGACCGATGAAGCGCGTGGATCTGCGGATCGTGTTGTCGAGCCTGCGGGAAATATCGCTCCCCCTTCTCGGGCAGGCGTCTCCTTTCTCCCTTTTCCCTGAAACGCGTCTTATCATGTCATCACAGTAATCGTAGTTTTATATATATATATATATATATATATATATATAATTAACCCCGTAAGATATATAATCGACAACAGTGAAACACATTCGTGAAACGCGTAAAATGCGGCGTAACGCCACCGGTAATCTCGTGGATTCTGTTTCGGAATGTTTCCGTTGCGAAACGCGCCGAGGATTCGATAATTTTCGCACGGCCTCGAGAACACGATCGCGAACCGAAGAGTCCCGATGTGACGCGACGATACAGCGTGGCCATTTTTTCTCATGCATCATGGTGAAGTCAATGATGCATGCCCGACGAGAGAAGGGGGGAGAGAAAAAGAAAGAGAAACGATACACACGAGGATAAGGACACTGTCCATGGTCCTTTTTCCCCTCATTGGACACACTATGCTGCGTGACTAAAAACGGAACTTGTACCTACTTGTGTGTTAAGCATATACGCACGTTATGTTGTACAATATAAATAGTTTATTATTCGATATGCCATTTATATACTCTACGATATTGTTATTACTTGTTTCTCATGTGGGTACTCCCGCGTATATGTCGCCATGACAGGCGCCGCCGAAACTTCTCCGCGCGAACGTCTCCCCTTCGGGAAAGGTGTTCGGCTTCCACTGAAGCGTCAACCTTGGAAAAACGACTGTCGAGCTCGCTTTCGACGAACATTAAATTATCCCCGACGGCGGCACAGAAATCACGACTTCGTATCGATTGGAGAATTCCACCGTTTATCGTCTGTGCGAGGAGGATCTTGAAGCGCGCACTTGAGACTTTCAACCGCTCGTTTCTCGAGAGCAAAATGCGCGAGCTACGCGCGGCAAACGTGCGATTCCGCTCGCGCGAGCGGCGTGTGTGAAAACATTGCTCGCGTTATCCTTTCGATCATCTTTCACTTGTCGTTGCGTAACGTGTACAGTCGATTTTCTACCTACACGACCCTATATAACAATATCAGTTATCGCGCGCGCGCGCACAGCTGTTGCATTTAACGACGTTTGTTCCTGAACATCTTAACCGTATAACTATTGCGTAACTACTTAAAAATATCTCTCTCTCTCTCTGCGCTTTAGACGCATCGTCATCGCCCATGATGTATGTCCGATAATAGATCATAGATGAGTACCAGTTGACGATTATATAGAAGTACGAAAGGAGGGAAAAAGAAGTGGAAAAGGTACCAAAACGCATTTATATATATATATATATATATATATATGTGTATACACACACATACACACCGTAAGTGTAAGGAGTCGCGATCATAACCGATCGGAATCGACGTAATCGCGAGCCTCTAGGACACGACATTCGATTGTTCCGTACGTGCACCGATTTCAGTCGCAGTAAAAGAAAAAAAGAAACGCAGTGCCTTATTAGATGACCTTCGAAAAGGATTGGGGAAAGAGTGCTGAATATACACGACGTCTCCCTCGTTTAGTGTAAATAGCCGCCGCATCATGTAATCCCCGCACACGCATACACACACATACACACACATACGCGCGCGCACGCACGCACGCACACACACACGCACACCTCCCGAGGCCGAGAGGCGACGACACCGCGACGAGTGTCGCGCATGAAACGTAGACTTAGAGAAATCACACCCGGCGTAACCCCGATCCTCAATCAGGCCCGAACAAGCCATAATCGACGAAGATATTAAGTACTCTTCTCCTCCGCGCTCCTCTCTAGATACGACCAAGAGACACGTAAAATCGTTAGAAGTACCACGTTAACGTAGCGCGACCCAGGTTAATTAACGATCTAGTGAATGTGTAGGCACACAGAGTCGACGTTGAGTCAGCCGTTCCCGCGAATTAGTTTACAGCTGCAACGAGAGCACACCACAGGACGGAATCGCGCGCAAAAGCGGAACGTTGAAAACGCGAGGCGCATCCTAGACGTTACCGTATCGTGTCGCCCCCGTTAGTTCGTTAGGTCTGTCGTGAACGATAATAATTACTTACGCGTCGTGTGATTTTCGAGAGCGCGCGGCCGTCGTCCCCCCCCCCCCCC